AATTTTGTAATCACACATTAACAAAAATGAGAGACCACCAAGTTGGTCAAAAACAGTAGTAGATACTGTATTCCACACAGAAGAAGGGTTTTTCAAAAAATACTTCAACCAGTTAATTTTGAAAGTGTTATTTAAGATAGAAAAATCTAAATAATCAAGACCACCATTTTTATATGAATTAACTACCACAGATTTTCTTGCTGTTTATGGTCAGATCAATGCAAATATCAACTCATGATTTTACGCAGCAAACACATAGAGTTGTAAATGAGAAAGAAGTTAATGTGCCTTCTAAAAATCTAAACAATTAAGACAATAAGACAGTAATATTTATATATTATATTTTATATTTTTAAATTGACATAATTTATATACTTGATTTATCCCTTTTCATAAAAATGGTCTAAAGGCTGAAATGCTGTTGTATAAGATTTTTGTTTTTGTGAAAACCTGTATCTGAACTGTAAATAATGTAATTTTATGGCTCAATACTGCATGTTACCATAGACATTGTCCAACTCCACTCATACTGTGTTCATTTTACTTGTGCAGCTCTTGAATTTATTTAAAAAAAAAATCTGCAGATACCCTGTAAATAGTGAAATCAAATTCCTTCCTTCATATTTGTTATTTGTGTATTGAAAATATTTTTGATTGACATTTAAACTCCTATCTGATTTTCTATATTTAAAAAAAAAAAAGTATTTTTTTATTTGGGCTAATTAAATCAATTTTCGGGCTACCAAAATCTGAAGAGTACCTGCCCGAAGGGCTACCAGGGATTTTGAAATTTTGCGAGCTCTGAAAAGTATTAATTTCTTTAAAAAAAAAAAAAAAGAAAGAAAAAATGCACTGACCACAAAACCATGAGTAATAGTATATATTGTAACACAAAATTTCTATTTTTAATAAACACTGTTTTTTTTCATCTTTATTTATTAAAGAATCCTGAAAAAAGTATCACAGGTCGCAAACAAATATTAAGCAGCACAACTGTTTCCAACATTGATTATAAATCAGAATATTAGAATGATTTCTGGAGGATCATGTGACACTGAAGACTGGAGTAATGATGCTGAAAATTCAGCTTTGCTTCACAGGAATAAATTATATTTTAAAGTATATTAAAATAGAAAACTTATTTTAAATTGCAATAATATTTCACAAAATTAAAGTTTTTTTCTGTATTTATGATCAAATAAATGCAGCCTTGATGAGCATAAGAAACTTCTTTGAAAACATTAAAAATCTTACTGATCCCAAAGTTTTGAACTGCACATTATATAGCCACTATTTTAAATTGCAAACTTTTGAATGGTACTGAATGCAGAACTTCATTAACCAAGATTAATAAATACTTTAAAAGTTAATTGTTTATTATTGCATTATTTGTGAATTTAGTAATGTTTAGATTAATTACCGTATATTAAAGTGCTGCCCATCACTTTATAATAAAATGAATAGTTCACCCCCCCTCCCCAAAAAAAAACAGTCACTTGCAGTCCTGACAGTTTCATCTGTTTTTGTCTATATAATGAAAATCAATGGGGTTCAAACCATCTGATTGGACCCCTGTTGACTTTCATTATATCTACAAAAAGTTGCTGAGACATTTTAAAATACCATCTTTTGTGTTCCACAGACGAAATGCACCTCTCTCTTTCTCTCTCTCTCTCTCTCTCTGCGTGTTGCATGTTGGGAGTGTGGGTGAGGAGGACTGAGTGCGCTTCTGAGAGTGATTGTGAAAAAGCTGTTTATTTCTTCTTATATGTTTCTTTTCTTTTTTTCCTTTCTCCCTTGTTATTCGAGTTTAAGTTAAAATAAGGATAAGTTTCTATCGTGTGCCCGTGGAATTTTAGACGCCGTGATGGCGTCTATTCCTGGGCAAACACCACCTAATTTATCACTCCGAAATGGGTGCAGGTGTGTACCAGAGCCTGGCGTGACAATAGAGGAGCTACTTATAGTTGTGGGAGAGCAAGTAGGTTTTGACAATATCGTCTCAGCTTCGCGAATGAACAAAGAAGTTGTTGTTTTTTTGAAAACTGAATCGCTGATCAATCAGTTGACTGTGAGCGGAATATGGGTTAAGGAAATGTTTGTCCCAGTTACCCCACTATCCGCTCCAGCAACAAAAATCACGATTTCCAACGTACCACCTTTTATCAGTAATGATGTCATCACGAAAGAGTTGCAAAGATTTGGAAAAATAGCAAGCCCAGTGAGAATGATTCCTTTAGGCTGTAAAAATATCGCGCTTAAACATGTCATTTCTTTCCGTCGTCAAGTATTTATGTTTTTGACTGCGCGAGAGCGTACTTTAGAAGTTTCGTTCCGAGTTATTCAAGGAGATAACTCGTACATGACTTACGCAAGCACTGAAAATTTAAAGTGTTTTGAATGTGGTGACCTAGGGCACAAACGTTTCACGTGCCCACATAAAGACGATCAGCGGCCGTCTACATCGCACGGAGATGTTAATAATGCCAACCAACCCCAAAAGCATACAGAAGAACTGAGACGCAGGAGAAAGCAGCCTCAGAGGAGGTGAGTGATATTAATTTAAATGCTGGGAGTATTGAGCAGCCGGTCTGCGTTTCTGAGACTGTAACTGATGTGATTGATGAGACTGATACGAGTGAAGCTCAGGGAGGTGATGGAGGAATGTGTGAATTCAAAGAAACAAAAGCAGGAGTTTCTGAAGGAAATATGACTGATGAATTAGATGAATTGTCCCAATGTACTGATGTTGGTTTGAGAAATGAAGAGCAGTGGTCAGATACATCTGATATAGTAAGAGTGGCTGAAAAGGACATGTATACTCTTGAACAGATCAATTATTTTTTAGATGAAACAAAAGGAAAAGCAGGTGTAGAAGTCAGTGATTTTTTCCCAGATCTTGAAAAGTTTGTTGCCTCTGTTGTATGGGCAAGGAAAACAAGTAGCTTTGAAGAGCTTTCACAGCAGAAGAGGGTTCGGCTAAAAAAGCACATGACCGTTATCAGACAGGGAAAACAAACAGGGAAAGAACGGATGACGAGGGGAAAGGCAAAAGAAAAGTGCAATCATTATGATGACTGCTAAATCTTTTTCTCTCTGTACTTTTTCTTTCTTTCTCTTCCTCTTTCTCATGGAAGTCTTGCGGGTGGGATCCCTAAATGTTAATGGGATGAGAGATGGGAGAAAGAATAGGTTACTTTCAGAGATTACACATTTGAAGGATATAGGTGTGATTTTGTTACAAGAGACTCACAGTGATCAAAGTAATGAGGCTGAATGGGGCCTATGGTGGGAAGGAGAGCATATCCTTAGTCATAATGGACCTTGGTCAGGGAACGGTCATATCTGAATTAATCTGGTGCACGTTCACTTTTGTCAAATTTAATAGACATGCTAAATGAATGCTAAATGGAAGGGGTTGGTTAAAGCATGTTCTTGTCTTATCAAATTAGTGTAAAACCTAGTCGATATAAGACGCTTTAGCAGTGTTATGTTCAGAACTGGAAAACCTGCTTATATTTCATAAGCGGTATACAAAAACAGGTGCTGTTTTTAGGTGCTGAGGATTATGGGATTGTGACGGGGCTAAAACAGGATTTCAGGAGTTTGTACAACCATACCATTGAACTTCTCTGTGTTCTGTTTTTCGGCATTAGTTGAGTTAGTTCCTTTGCTATACGAGACTTTAAGGTAGGTGTGTGTGTGTGTGATTAGCTGCTGTTTGTGGTGTGATCTTTGTGCGAGTGGAAAACTGTTTCATGGTCATTTTCTCTAAATAAAGGTTGAAGCTGACAAGATGGATGTTGATGATACAAACACACACGCAATCTGCTCCAGCATTAATTTCAGTCTCACCGAGGGATTATTGTATCAGCTTTGATGTAGATTTGAAGTTCATTTGGGAGCTTTGCATGGCTGTTATGCCATTCCATGCACATTAATAAATTATATGCAGTGCAACGGTTATGTGCTGAAAGTAAAAATCACTTTCATTTTCTTCAGAATTTGAACAGCACTTTTCTTCTTACAATGTCAAACCAATTATATATTTGATTTGATTTGATTTGCAATAAACCTCAGATATATTGTATTTTGTAAATGTGTAGGGTCAGTAAGATTTTTTTTAACGTAGTGAATACTTCTTTTCAGCAAGGATGCGTTTATTCTATTTTGATTCTATTCACCAAAGAATCCTGAAAAAAATGTCAGTTTTAAGCAATATTAAGCAATGAATCAATTAAGCAGAACAATTAACACCAAATCAGCGTATTAGAATGATTTCTGAAGAACCATGTGACACTGAAGACTGGAGTCATTTTTAACCTTTTTTAAATGTTTTTTTATAATTATTCCCCCCAAATAAAAGTTTCTTACTGTTGGTTTGATTTAGATGCTTTTTAGAAGATTTTTTGAATTTCCTAAAAACAGGAAAAATGCTTAGGGAACCAAGGACCCTGAAAAAGTAGGCTATCACTGTTCTGCTCATACTCTTTCTCATTTTTCCCTCTTGTTTCTACAGAATGCAGAAGTATCTGTCTTTGAGGTCAACATCCGCTTCATTGGAGGGCTTCTGGCTGCATACTACCTCTCTGGACAGGAGGTACGTTATCATTGCTTATTGATTTTTGCAAGTTTGTGTGCATGTTTCCTTTCTGTCTGCGCTGTTCAGTGTCATAGTTATTTCAGATGATGGAAGTTTGTGCAGGCCGCCACATAGATGAAGATCTGGACAGAGAGAGAGTTTATCTTAGGGCAGTGCTGTTGGCTCAGAGAAATAAGAACAGTTTTTTCAGGGGAAATAAATGTCCCTCTCTCAAGCCCATGTTAATTAACGCTTCCCTTCTGTCTTATCTGCCCATGGACATTAATGGAGAAGGACACAAATAATCTCTCTCTCTTTTCCCTCATCACTGTGCAGCGTATCTCTGCCACTGCATATCACAGTGTTCTCCTCCTTTTAGTCTGAAGGTGAAAATGCAAAGGAATTAAACTGCAGCCATGCGGCACGACCACATCGCCGCTCCACACACTTCATTAGATGAGTTTAGATACTGGACGTGGAACTCGCCACACTTGCATACAAAGTCATCACACTCGTCTGTCCCCTGCCTGCCTGCCTCTCTGTCCCAAGTGACCTTTTGTTCCTTCAGTACAGTGTTTTGAGATGTCTGGGAGTCAGGCCTCAGTCACCAGTACAGTCACACTTTGTTCATCTGAGTGTTTTCTGCATATGTGCTGTCATAGACATGCAGTACAGCATGGGCTGAATTTTGGAGGCAGAGTGTCCAATTTAGCAGTGCTTGTATTGCCAGTGGCAAACATGGAGAGAAGTGATTACATTAATTGAATTGTTTCAGGAATCATTAAATAACATCTGGATTAACTGTGCATTTATATCTTGTAATTACATCTAGTCTGCCAAAAGGACCGTAGTATGCTGTGGAGGGCTGTATCCAAAATGTGCCCAAATTTGAGCAACAACGTTTACAGAGATTTCCTTTACAGAAATCAGAATCAAAGCAAGCATTTATGTTACAAGAGACACTGAAATGTTGGTATAGCTTAAACACAGAGGAGAGACAGACAACACACACAGCTTTGGGTTCAGATAGTTTCATTTAGCTCCCATGTAGTTAAAAACACAAATAAATGCTCAGCCATTTGCCTCTGTGCTCTGCATCGAAAATATATGAACATGCTGTTGCTCCTCTAATAACTTTTAAGGCTTATTTTGCGGCATTTATATGAGCCTTTTGATGGATTGCATCAAGGAGCTGTAAAAACTGGTTACACTCGCTAAGTGAATAAATCGCGTTTGTGCTTAACTCTTACAAAGCAAAAACAAACGCTTTCCTTCGATCCATGAATGCGCGTCTCTCACTTAATGTATGCAATCTCACTGTCTGAAGTGAGCCTATCGATGCTGTTGTGAATAATTAAGAGAAGCGTCTTCTCATTGGATAAGAACACACAGTCTCGTGAATAATTATGAGACACCTACGCGTCATCAAAGTACTGTAGTCCTTTGCCGATGTTAACACAGTGTAGATTTTAAACCCGTAAGACGAAAATGGCGCAAAAAAGCTCAAAATTTACCAGTTTTCTCCAAGCATTAAAATTAACGGATGCTAACATTGTCTCCTATGATGTGCAACACAAACACCTCTGCTAAAATCTCAGAAGAAGTAGCTTGGTGTTTCATGACCCTTTAATTCTGTACAGCAGTTTTTGAGTCATTTCTTTGTAAATATGCACAATATATCAGTACTATATTGTTTATTGGCAGATATAAGAGAATTTTTATATTCATCATTATCAATCAATATTGTATATTTAATTATGCTGCTCGTTTCCCATTTTACATGTAGATCACATTTGCCATCAGCTGTCGCTCACTTAAACTTCATCTTCAAAAGCACTAATAATTTAAAATAACACTGTTAAAAGTAATCTTTATCAAGCTCAAAATGAATCTTCAATTTTCATACTGTACTTTACAATGTTGTGATGCATAAATTCGCTTGTAGAAATTAAAATTATTAATTTTAGTTGGTAGTATTTCATTCTTAATTTAATAATTAGAAAAAACGGTATAGGCCATTTGTTAGTTATCGGTAACACACCCACAAAAATTATCTGGTGGTTATTATTATCACTCAGAACCACCTTTTACTTCAGAGCTTTAATTCCTTACAGTAGTTTGAGTTAATTTTTTTATATAGATGTGCATACACATGGTAGATTTCAGCATTATTGGAACCGAAGCATCTTTCTCCATTGACGGCTATTCAAAAGCCTTTTCAAAAGCACTGAGTGCCCATGAGCAAAGATGACAGATTTGAAATTGCTTTCTTCCAGGGGATCATGCGACCGCAGCAGTTGCCATTGAGATGTATAGGAATGCTAATGAAAAACATTCTCCAGGGATTATACTCTTGGTATAGGCAGAGTTCTCTATATATGTCCCCTATATGCAGTGGAGGCTGCATGGAGACAGAGGGTAGAAGCACTGACTGAATGCAGTGTCATAGATTGAAAAGCCATGCCTCTTTAATAAGAGTTTTTTGATCAGGCATGATGGAGTAAGCCGCTGGGGGTGGAGGGAATGAAAGAGGGTCCAGAGTAGAGAGAGTTGTGTACTGAATCTGATGTGCGGCTGGTTTTTCTAGAGAAGAAGAGCATCTGATCTGAAGAAGACCGAGGACTCCATACTTTTATCAGCTCTGGAGGTTATCTCTCCTGTGCAAGACCACATCCTCCATTCCTTCTCTCTCTCTCTCTGTCAGCTGGCTCTAGCAGTGCAGTGATGGATGATGTTTACTCTTCTGTCCCTCTGTCCTTTCCTTCCTCTGTCTTTTGGTCCTCGTCTTCTATTTTATCCTTTCCTTTCATCTCTCTTTCTCAGTCTTCCTCTCTTGTTCTTCAGATCTCTCACCCCTGCATGTCTTGACAGTATTGTTTCGTGATGGCAGTGAAGAGATGAATTTAGATCTAAAGGAGCAAGGGGCCAGGGTTTGGAGTCTGCATACTAAGTCTGCTTCTTCATTGACAGCAAGCAGTTTTTAGTATAGTTATATTAAACTCAGGTTTGCTACATTTCTGCTAAACTTCTAAAAATGTATCTATACATACATTTCACATAAGTTTTCATCTGAAATAAATGCTAGTGAATAAACACAACTTGAACTGCTCAAGCAAGTTATGATTACATGTGAGATTTTTGATTAATAAAGACTTAAACAACATGTGGTTCCTTACACAGTACTATGTTATGACTTTAAAACACTTGTAGCATAGTTTAGGATTTGTAAACTAATACATTTTGTCATTTGGTTAATGTATTAGTAGTAGTAGTAGTATTTGTGAACAACACAGAAAGCTGCGATCCCAATGGCTAATACTAACGGATAGCTTGCTTTATGGCCCTTTCTCAAACAGCATCCTCCACGTCTACAGTTTCGTGATGTAATGATGATTTGAGGTTTTAGGGGGTTGAGAATGAAAAGAGTTTAATAAAGCAGTCCACTCAGCAACCTGTTTTCATTGGAGAGATGATGACAGATGAAGGAATGTGGCGTGTACTTATCTGGAATGTTTTTCTTTGCATTCTTGCAATGTTTTATTTTTTTTTATTTTCATCATATTTAATGTCCTAAATTGGCCTTCGCATAGTTGCAAGGCATTGTTATCTAATATGAATTAATTATTATTATTAGGTAAATAATTTGTCTGTTTTGTAGTTTTGATTACATTGTTTAGTTTACCGTTCGATATTTGATGTTTTATGTAAGGCCAAGCAAATAGAAGCACTTGTTCCCCTTTATGGTCATAAAACGTGACTGGCTCAATAACTGTTTTGAATAACTCTTTCTAAATACTTCCTGGAATATGTATTTTTATAGATTTTTTTTAAGACCCTCATAGCATTTTCCAGGTACCTCACCAGCAAGCCAGCAATTTTGGATGAATTAATTGTAGATCTCACATCTAACAGTAATTTTCCAGTGGATCTAGACAGCACTTTTCTTCCTTTCTTTCAAAGACGATTGCAGATTCTTTGTGCGAAAATCAAATATAGTTTCTTTACCTTTTGCTCCTGCGGATGCTCAGACGTTCTGGCATTATTTGTGAGATGTTTCAATTACTGTATGTTTGACAGCCCAATTACTGTATGAATCAGTAGATTTCTCCAAACACAGTGCTGACGGAGGCTTTATTTCTTAAGATTCCTTCAAGCCAAATAGGATCATAGCCTGTAAGTGAACAACATGGGCAAATATTTGTTCTTTGTCTTGATTTGCTCATTTATTACAGCAGAGATGGTGTGAGGAAATGGGGTTTACTCCAGGCATTATGCAGCAGTTAGCTTTCTTTCTCTCCCCCTCCCCATCACTCTCTGCTGATGCGCTGTCCTGTGGTTGTATATCCTTCACAGTGGTAGAGAATATGCGGTGTCACATTAGGGAACAGCACACTCTTCTGTTGTCAAACACGGATCTCATCAAAGACAGAAGAGAACCGCAGCCCCGGGCCCAGCGGAGACAAGATAAGGACAGAGATTTAAGAAGGGATTTGATGGATGAGAAAATGTTTCGGCTACTCATCTGCGTGTTTGATGTGCTGCAGACTTTGGTTATGCCATCGCCTATCGAATCTCCTGTTCAAATACAAATAACTGGCCTTTCTAGACTGGCCTTTCTTTATAAAACTATCTGGTTTTCCAGCCTTTGGTTTGTAGCTGTATTGCACGAGTGTGTCCAAAACACTCTGGAAATTGCCAGAAAGATCTTTAACAAATAGCTTTTGCAGTTTTGTGAGCTGTTATGTTAACATCATTGAGCGCCTAACAAGTGGTTATATAAGGATATGTTGGCTTTGCACATCAAGACCACCGGTGTTGGTGTTTATTTTGACATCCCAGCTGTGGTTTTGTTTGCAACACTCATCAGTGTAAAAGGAGACACACCGTATGCTGGGCCAGCTGAGAACTGAGACTAAATAATTGGTCAGTCTCACGGAAAAAAAGAAAAAAAAACATCACGTTACTTAATCCCAAAATCAATCACAAGGGGGAAAATAGATTGTGTTCTTTGTAAAAGT